CTACGTCTAACCTAGCTATCGAGTATCTCTCAAGCGCCCTCTTCTTCTTCAGGCACAGAGCGCCCAAGTTGCTGTAACGCACAAGCAGCAGCAGCGCTTCCACATCGCGCAACTGAACAAGTGACGAGTCGCTGCACTGTAGCAGCTAAATATAGGACTTGGCCTCACTTGGCTTGGCTTGCTTCAGACCAGTACCAGTCGGCCGTGGCCTGTCTGCTGCAAAGAATTTGTCGGTGTCTGCTGCAAAGAATTTGTCGGTCCGGTACCTTCTGGACCTTTCTGGGACATGCTGCAAAATTGGACTTGGGGCTGTTGCACTGGCCTGGACACTTCTGGACTTTTCTTGTCAGGTACCGGGAAGACCCCCTACCGACCTACGACGCGTCAGTACCGACAGCCACAGACCTACGATACTTTGATCTCTGAGCCCTATGGCCTACCCTACGGCCCTGGGACTTGAGACTTGCTAGGACCTTGAGACCGGGACTAGGTGTCTATCGCGTGAATTCTCTCTCTCTCTCTCTCTCTCTCTCTCTCTCTCTCTCTCTCTCTCTCTCTCTCTCTCTCTCTCTCTCTCTCTCTCTCTCTCTTTTTCTACACTGGATCGTCACCGTTAATACACCTACTCAGGTAGCTTACACCTTGGCGGCTATGACCACCGTCCTCCTGCTCTACGTCTAACCTAGCTATCGAGTATCTCTCAAGCGCCCTCTTCTTCTTCAGGCACAGAGCGCCCAAGTTGCTGTGACGCACAAGCAGCAGCACCGCTTCCACATCGCGCAACTGAACAAGTGACGAGTCGCTGCACTGTAGCAGCTAAATATAGGACTTGGCCTCGCTTGGCTTGGCTTGCTTCATATCGGTACCAGTCGGCCGTGGCCTGTCTGCTGCAAAGAATTTGTCGGTCCGGTACCTTCTGGACCTTCCCGGGACATGCTGCAAAATTGGACTTGGGACTGTTGGACTGGCCTGGACACTTCTGGACTTTTCTTGTCGGGTACCGGGCAGACCCCCCACCGACCTACGACACTTACCGACAGCCACAGACCTACGACACTTTGATCTCTGAGCCCTATGGCCTATCCTACGGAACGGGCCTCGTACTTGAGACTGGCTAGGACCTTGAGACCGGGACTAGGTGTCTCTCTCTCTCTCTCTCTCTCTCTCTCTCTCTCTCTCTCTCTCTCTCTCTCTCTCTCTCTCTCTCTCTCTCTC